AAGATACCACCAGCCACCTATCAAAATCTACTTTCTACCGAAAGTAGATTTTTTCCCACAACAGCAGGACTCACCTACCATTTAAGTCAGCATTCACATGGAAAAAGCAATTCACCTCTACTTTCCCACCGAAAGGTTAAGGTGAAACTACTTTATCCAAGTTAAAGCATCCACTGAAGACAACAGAGTAATCATTCCAAAGATTCCTTTAGAATTCCTTACGCCTATATACGGACTTCAGTCTTCACTATCCAAGCAAGTTCTTTCTCACTTCAGAAAGTTTCAGAGAAGTCTTTTGTTAAGGCAAAGTGCATTACACACCTAGCAAAACTTCACCCCTATCTTCACTATAAACCTGTATTTTGAGAGCTCTCATAATGATGCAAATGAAGAGTTTCTCTCCTATCCTCTTTCACTACTAGCCCACTTAATGCTAGTATTGTAAGTATTTTATTTCTGTAATTTGTATTTGTATCTTGTTCATTTAAACAAGAATTTTTTAAATTAAAAGAAATTATTTTGTCATTCTTACATCTACATCTTGTGATTCTCCTTAAACTCACATGAATTCCGCAGTTATATATCAATAACAGATTGGTACTAATTCAATTCCACATCAATAGTTCAATAACAGGTTGGTTGTAAAATCCCATTTCAAATCAATGAGTCAATTAACACTTAAAATTCAAAAGACAATGGCATGAGGCTAAGATCATGAAAGTCCTTATTGCTTGGTCCCTTTGTGTCAATGGTAAGACCAAAAAGGGTCACAGTTCATAAGTTCAAGTTAAGGTGTTCATGTTCATGCATTTAACTTACTGGACGATTGTGTTTCATTGTCAAGAGTTCAAACATAAAGATGGTTTAAAGAAAAAGAAGCTCATGAAAATTTATATATGTAATCTGAATACAAACCCATGTATGTTTTTTTTTTTTTTTCTATTTTGTGTTTTGAATGTTTTTTGATGTGTCCTATTGTCGATTTAATTATTCGGTCAATGTGCAGGACGATCTCTCATGGTTACACAGATCTTACATTCCATTGTGCATTGACTATGTTAAAAATTGTTGTTATAATATTTATTTAAATGGAATTTCAACCACATAACTTGGACCCAAATGGGAACTGAGATGACTAAAACAATTCTCATCCCAATTATAAGTTTTTAGGCTGTCAATCTTAGATACATAACAAATTCAAGCTAAGGATATTATGAATTATCATGAATGACTTAGAAAAATGCATATAAAAATTTCCTAGGTTAAAATTGGTTCATGAGGGGTAACTAAAAACATGAGAATGAAGAAATAGTAGAGGAAACTTCATTCATAGCTTTAATGATATGATTAGAACTATTTTGCAGGTAGCTCTTGTGCCATGGATTCTATGTATGGCATTGACCTCATATACCATAGTATACATGTGATTTTGAATAACTTTAAGATGTGGTATGAGGTCCCTATCAATGAATATGAAGTTGGGATCCAGAGGGGTTGCCCATCTAAAAGCAGTTAGTCGGGATGATATGAAAGAGAGAAGCTTGCAATCCCTCTTTCTTGGTGAACTTCATTTCTAAGACAAGACTGGCTTCTCTTCTTTGGAGTTCTTAATTTATGCCTGAGCTTCTCATTGTTGGTTGCTAATACCATTTTAATGTCTTATTTGACTTGTTATTCACCAAATTATATTTATCTTCATTTGATGTGAATTTGTGTGGCATTATTTTATAGGTATTCTTTTATGTATTGCTTTGTGGAGACCTTTTTGAGCATAATTAATGGGTGAGCTCTTCCAATTTTCCTTCATTCGCTTCGCAGGAGCTGCACAACACATAGTTAGAAGTCATAGGGCTCATATTACCTGCTNTCTATATGTATGATACCTTCAATCACTACTTTCTTCAATAAAGAAAGAAAAGTTGTCTATTACATATATCGATGAGGTATTATTTGGCAATCCGGATCTTTCCCCTAGTAAAGATACCACCAGCCACCTATCAAAATCTACTTTCTACCGAAAGTAGATTTTTTCCCACAACAGCAGGACTCACCTACCATTTAAGTCAGCATTCACATGGAAAAAGCAATTCACCTCTACTTTCCCACCGAAAGGTTAAGGTGAAACTACTTTATCCAAGTTAAAGCATCCACTGAAGACAACAGAGTAATCATTCCAAAGATTCCTTTAGAATTCCTTACGCCTATATACGGACTTCAGTCTTCACTATCCAAGCAAGTTCTTTCTCACTTCAGAAAGTTTCAGAGAAGTCTTTTGTTAAGGCAAAGTGCATTACACACCTAGCAAAACTTCACCCCTATCTTCACTATAAACCTGTATTTTGAGAGCTCTCATAATGATGCAAATGAAGAGTTTCTCTCCTATCCTCTTTCACTACTAGCCCACTTAATGCTAGTATTGTAAGTATTTTATTTCTGTAATTTGTATTTGTATCTTGTTCATTTAAACAAGAATTTTTTAAATTAAAAGAAATTATTTTGTCATTCTTACATCTACATCTTGTGATTCTCCTTAAACTCACATGAATTCCGCAGTTATATATCAATAACAGATTGGTACTAATTCAATTCCACATCAATAGTTCAATAACAGGTTGGTTGTAAAATCCCATTTCAAATCAATGAGTCAATTAACACTTAAAATTCAAAAGACAATGGCATGAGGCTAAGATCATGAAAGTCCTTATTGCTTGGTCCCTTTGTGTCAATGGTAAGACCAAAAAGGGTCACAGTTCATAAGTTCAAGTTAAGGTGTTCATGTTCATGCATTTAACTTACTGGACGATTGTGTTTCATTGTCAAGAGTTCAAACATAAAGATGGTTTAAAGAAAAAGAAGCTCATGAAAATTTATATATGTAATCTGAATACAAACCCATGTATGTTTTTTTTTTTTTTTCTATTTTGTGTTTTGAATGTTTTTTGATGTGTCCTATTGTCGATTTAATTATTCGGTCAATGTGCAGGACGATCTCTCATGGTTACACAGATCTTACATTCCATTGTGCATTGACTATGTTAAAAATTGTTGTTATAATATTTATTTAAATGGAATTTCAACCACATAACTTGGACCCAAATGGGAACTGAGATGACTAAAACAATTCTCATCCCAATTATAAGTTTTTAGGCTGTCAATCTTAGATACATAACAAATTCAAGCTAAGGATATTATGAATTATCATGAATGACTTAGAAAAATGCATATAAAAATTTCCTAGGTTAAAATTGGTTCATGAGGGGTAACTAAAAACATGAGAATGAAGAAATAGTAGAGGAAACTTCATTCATAGCTTTAATGATATGATTAGAACTATTTTGCAGGTAGCTCTTGTGCCATGGATTCTATGTATGGCATTGACCTCATATACCATAGTATACATGTGATTTTGAATAACTTTAAGATGTGGTATGAGGTCCCTATCAATGAATATGAAGTTGGGATCCAGAGGGGTTGCCCATCTAAAAGCAGTTAGTCGGGATGATATGAAAGAGAGAAGCTTGCAATCCCTCTTTCTTGGTGAACTTCATTTCTAAGACAAGACTGGCTTCTCTTCTTTGGAGTTCTTAATTTATGCCTGAGCTTCTCATTGTTGGTTGCTAATACCATTTTAATGTCTTATTTGACTTGTTATTCACCAAATTATATTTATCTTCATTTGATGTGAATTTGTGTGGCATTATTTTATAGGTATTCTTTTATGTATTGCTTTGTGGAGACCTTTTTGAGCATAATTAATGGGTGAGCTCTTCCAATTTTCCTTCATTCGCTTCGCAGGAGCTGCACAACACATAGTTAGAAGTCATAGGGCTCATATTACCTGCTTAACCCTTCGCTCCAGGGGACTGTAGATCGAAAAGTGTCTTCTAAACTAACTTATTCATCCAAAAGAGAAGGGAAGAAGCCTATGTATTTGTCTGAGCCTCGATCGTAATTTAATAGATTGATCATGTCATCATCTCGACTGCAAATTTATCTTTAGGGTAGAATGTGTGAAATTTATGAGGGTAAATGACTCTAATATAATATTTATGAATTGTTGCAATGTCATTTCGGATGTCGTGCACAAATATCTATTAGATGTTTGATTCCAATAAATTTCACACCAACTTTGTCGTGAGAGTCATGACAATAAAGTGAATTTGCCAAATTGATGGAGGTAATGCTTTTATGAATTTTGAAAACAGTAGCATGTTGAATTTTGAATAAATTTTTGAGTTTTGTCTTTGCTTGGCATTTCCCGATTCTACAATAGTTGGACCAACATTGCTGTTGAATCACCAAAAAAAAAAAGAAAAATAAAATCAGCTGAGTCAGATCTATACAAGCTCCAATCTACGACAAAAGAATTTTGGGGATTTACAATATAGATGACTATTAAATTTTGAGATGATTTTCAAGTGTATTAACAATAAGATGAGATATGACGATGTATGTGTCTAAAAAAAGTGACACATGACTACAACGTATATTATTTTTTTTCCTCAAAATAATTCACGTGCAATGCACATGTGCATCAACTAGTAAAATAAAAATGCATGTATTACAATTAAAATTGATAATCGAGCTGAACTATTCAGACTTGACTCGGATTTGAATCATATAGAATTTGAGTCGAGCTAAGCTCGTGTTCCAAAGGAGCCTAAAAGGCTTAGCTTGAGCCTACAATTGACTCAACTCACAAATATTGACTCGAACTTGCAAAGATCGGATCATCAGCCCTAGTTACAATTGCTCTAGTCTCTAACCAACCCACTCGGGGAAAAAATTACCCAAATGAACTAGTTATATGGAGCATTTCATCATATATATCCTGTCACGTATATATCATCCAAGGCGCTGGAACATGCTTAGATATAAAGCATGCGAAAAAACCAAGCTTAAAGACTCAGTATTTTTGTCAGAAATGATGATACCACAACTTTACTTGAAAGCAACACACACCCCCTCATACAAAAAACTATATAAATCCATCCAGCGTGCCTTCTCCTCTTCATCTTTTTCATTATTCTTCCTTTGGTGAAGTCCTGATCAAAATGGCTGTCTCCTCATTTTCTAACTTGTTCTTTGTCGCATTTTCCATGTCAATCTTTGCCTGTTCAGTTTTCGCTCGTGATTTCTCAATCGTCGGTTATTCGTCTGATGATTTGACATGCATTGATAAACTCATTAATCTCTTTGAAGAGTGGAGATTAAAACATGGCAAGAGTTACGAGAGTATTGAAGAGAAGTTGCACAGGTTTGAGATCTTCAAGGATAATTTGAAGCATATTGATGAAACGAATAGGAAGATTAGTAGCTACTGGCTTGGGTTGAATGAGTTTGCGGATTTAAGCCATGAAGAATTCAAAAAGATGTATTTGGGACTCAAGGTTGAGTTGCCTAAGAGGAGGGAGTCCCCTGAAGAATTCACTTACAAGGACGTCGTGGATTTGCCCAAATCTGTAGATTGGAGAAAGAAAGGAGCTGTCACTTCTGTCAAAAACCAAGGTTCCTGCGGTAAGTTGATGTAATATTATTGGTGTGCATTGTTTCCATTTTGCAATTAGCACTAGGAATTTTGAATTTTGATCAATAGGTAGACTATGCATATCGGGCAGTGAATATGTTGTCTCTTTCTGATGTTTATGTGGGCATAATTTGGCTAATGGTACATACAAATGGCAAATTAATGTGCAGGTAGCTGTTGGGCATTTTCAACAGTAGCAGCAGTTGAGGGCGTCAATCAAATTGTCACTGGAAATTTAACCTCCCTTTCTGAGCAAGAACTGATTGACTGCGACACCACCTATAACCATGGCTGCAATGGAGGTCTCATGGATTACGCATTTTCCTTCATTATATCGAACGGTGGCCTTCACAAGGAGGATGACTACCCTTACCTCATGGAGGAAGGCACTTGTGATGAGAGGAAGGTAACTTTAGCTTTTACTAATTCCGGCAGTTGCAACATATAATTAAACTCGAGCTAGAGGGTCAATCATATTCGTACAATGTATGATCTTCATTGGTTTAATTGATTGTTTCATTCATAAATCTTTCAGGACGTTTCAGAGGTAGTAACCATTAGTGGCTACCATGATGTACCCGAAAACAACGAAGAAAGCTTTCTGAAGGCACTTGCAAACCAGCCTCTGAGTGTGGCCATCGAGGCTTCTGGCAGAGATTTCCAATTTTACAGCGGGGTACGTAAGCCTACTCGAATTCTTGCAAAGCTTGATCCTTCGGGATGACATCCATATGCATGGCCACTCATGTTCTTTTAGTGGTTTTGAAATAAACATTAGTCCTATTTTAGTGGAAGGGTTTCTTCGATAAAGACTTTTTTCTCGGTCCATTTATGATTTGGCATAGTTATGTTAGGTCATGTCATTTATAAGTTACACTTCGACGTCTTGTTTCGTCAATATTCGTATATATTAATCTATTTATTATACAAGTCTGGTGCGTGTGTTGACCTATTTATAATTTAGCTAAGATTGTTAAAATTAAATCCGTACTTTCTCAATCACTTGGTTTTAGTTCTATATCAAATGTGTAAGTAGTGTTGAGAATTACTAGTCCTACGCCTTGCTTATGAGAGACATGCATTCTATTGATTTGTGTAGGGTGTATTCGATGGGCATTGTGGAACTGAGCTGGATCATGGGGTGGCTGCTGTTGGATATGGATCAACGAAGGGTTCGGACTACGTCATCGTGAAGAACTCTTGGGGAGCTAAATGGGGAGAGAAAGGGTATATAAGGATGAAGAGAAACACAGTGAAGCCTCAAGGTCTTTGTGGAATCAACAAGCTAGCTTCTTATCCTACCAAAAAGAAGTGATCTTTTTCAATTTGATTGTCACATTTTCTACTATTGGAATTGTTAGTTGTAAGAAAACCCTATCATTTAAGAATAAAAGCTAATTTGTTTCTTTTTTCCTCTACCGAATTCTGATCTGAATCTTGAATTATATTTGAAGTTAAAAATATTTTCTTTACAACTATGTACCTCAAATCTATCTTCCTTTTTTTTTTATTCACTTGTTTGAGATATGAGTAATGTTAGATGAACTTAAAAACTATACTTAAAAATTAGACTTGATAATCTCAACCATTGAATAGGTAGTAAGTCCCCGTCCCAATAAATGCTGAGACTCACAGTGAAACCAATAGTTGAGATTATCAGAGTAATGCTAGATGGACTTAAAAGTAAACTTAAAAACTAGACTTAATAATTGCAACCATTGAATAGGTAGTGGGTCCCAATAAATGCTGGGACCCACAGTAAAATCAATGGTTGTAATTATCAAGTCTGATTTTTAAATTTATTTTTTAAGTTCATGTAGTATTGTTCAATTTTTAAGTCTACTAGCATTATTCTTAAAGATATATCATAGAGGGACACAAACTTAAAAGTGAACCTTATGGTTCAATGTTGTTACAAGTTCATGCTGACATTACAATCTCTTAGAGTTTACGAAGTAGTTTGTTATAATTAAAATTATCACAAAAAAAAAAAAAAAGAAGAAAGATATTATACCCTGTTATATTACGGAAAGTGGTTCAAATGACAACTTGAACAAGTCTCAGTTGGAACAAAATAGACAAACCTAGGATAGGAATATACAACATACAAACAAATACAACCTGACACTTTGACAACCTAGTAATTAATGCAACTTCTTAGAAGAAGTAGCAGACATCTGATCAAGCAAACAGCAAATAGATAAGCTTCATCGTATTTCACCTTATACAGCAGCAGCAACTTCATTGAGACATGAGCTTGGCTTGAAGCAACAATTAGTGAAACTGAAACACCTTAAGAACCACACATTACTAGTCTCATCCTCATTCTCATTCTCCTCCAGTGATCTCCCCATTGTTTCACGCGTGAACAAGTACGTAGTGGCCATCCCAACAATACAAACTCCACCCAAAATCACCAACGAGTTTGTCATTCCTATCCCATCGTAGTGGTCCTTCTTTTTACTATGCGACGCCCATAGAAACCCAACTGACCCTATAATTGCCCCCACCTTTCCGACAGCCCCCGAAATGCCGTGGCATGTTGATCGGAATCTGGCCGGGAAAAGTTCCGCAGGCACTATAAAAGTGGTTGTGTTGGGTCCAAAATTGGAGAAGAAGAATGTGAGACCATATAGAATAACGAAACCAGCTGTATTCGTTTTACCATTCCAGTACGTGTAGTATGGTATCCCAATGGCGAACATGCCAATGGCCATGAAGAAGAAGCCCATGATTTGGATTTTGACTCTTCCAATGCGATCGATGAAGTAGACAGTAGCAAAATAGCCTGGAACTGTTGAGCAAATGGCGATGGTTGCTTGGAGTTTTGCGACTTGATAAGCCTCTTCGAAGGCATTCATATCTTTCTTGTTAGGGAGAAAATCGTCGGAGATTTGAGACTGGAAGAGGTTGCTGCTGTAAAAGACAACATCGACGAGAAACCACGAAATGGAACAAGCGAAAAGGTCACGACCATGGCGACGAAAGAATTCTCTGGAAAGAAAAGGATAAGATGGTGAATTTGAGGGATACTCAACGTCCTCTGCAATCTGACTCAGTGATATGTCTAGCACTTTCTCCATGTCCTTTGCTGCTTGCAGGACATTTTTCTCCACCAGAGCTGTGTATCTGTTGGATATATTTTTGATTAGTTCAAGCTGATCATGCATGAATGGATGCCTTAAAGGCCCCCCCGGGTTCAAGAGGAAGTTGCCAAAGATCAAACATAGATAAGTCTGATATGTCATGTAATGCCCAATACACGTATGCATTTAGATATATTTAGTAGATAAATAAAAAGATAGCAGATTATTTAGAAATTCAGAATTTGTGTACGTAGATGCCTTGTGGTTAAATTAAAATATATATATAATCATTTATTTATTTAGTGTATTGGGTACCAAGGATAACTATAGAGTAAGAATAATAATAATAATAATAATAAAAAAAAAAAAGGGGATAAAAGTGTGATTAAAATGAGTTCTCTTGTTGTCCTAGAAGTGTATTGACATATAGATATATATATATATATATATATATATATATATATATATATATATATATTCTTTTTCCAATATCTACACATACGTTAGAATAAGAGAAAGGAGAGGAGAGGCTAGGGTTTTGAGTAAAAGAAAAAGGAAGAGAAAGAAATAAGGGGACTTAGAGAGAAAGGAAGAAAATTAGAAGATTGATCGTCAAGGTTAGTCTTCAAACTTAAATTTAATTTTATATTTAATTATTATATGTACACATATACAAGGTTGTAGTTTGATATAATATTGCAAGTAATCCATATGGGTAGGTTTATATGATTAAAATATATGAATTCAAATATAATAGGGTAGTATTTGTGTTAAGAAGACATTGAAAAAGGGGGAAGAAAGAAAAGTTACAGACAAGCAAGCGGCTGGATACAACGTAAGGTGAAGAAGATAAAGTTTTGGAAATTATGGAAATCTCGCCCTTAGTTTTAAGTAATTTTATTTTGATCCCTATACTTTTATAAACTCAATTTTTGACTACTATGAAACTTGGTAATTTATAGAATTGACCCAATATGTTTGAAACAAATATGGTTATGTCAAAACAGCCCCGAGTCTTGAAAAAATTTCTGAAATTTTGAAACGACCCTTAAAAGTTTTGATTAAGTGTTTAAATATTAATAGGTACTCTAATAAATCAAATTGAGGTTGTATTCTTGGAAAATGGGTCTCTAGAACCTTAAATACTATTCTGGAAAATTTATGGCAGGCCCGAAAACAGAAAATTCGTTTTTAAAGAAATTACACTTTGATCTCAAAAGTTTCAAAAATTATGATTTGACCCTAGAACTTTAGAAATTTTTTTCAAACAGCCCAGAATACTTCCATATCCTATAACCTCGTATTAGGAAGGATATTTATATGTCAAAGACATACTAAGTATATATCAATGAGTAGGAAGTATAAAAATTAAATATACAATCGCGAAACGACAAAGTTAGGAAAAATGGATTGATTGTTATATGTTATTTTGGATTAGGTGGTAATTGCATTGAGGTTGGAAAAATGTTTACTAAAAAAACTTGCAACAACAATTCCTTCTTATTAAAATAATGTGAACTAGCAATTGAGAGTTATATATTAACCATTTTATTAGGAATAATAATATATGATTTGGTAATGTATATTATATATAGTAGGTAATTGGAATTATTGAATTGTTTTTTTTATATAAATATTGGAATTATTAGGGGTATAAAGCAATATTGTTGTTGTAAGAGTGACAAAAATGAAGTGTATTTTCGTACATAGAATAGAATGCTCTAATCACGTACACAACTAAAATAGAGAGAAGAAACAAAATTACTATACAGTCCAAAGTTTAAACGGCAAAAATTAGCACTAACCCAAAAAACCTAAGAAGAAGAAGAAGAAGAAGACAAAACTGAAGTGTATTTTCGTACATGTAATGTATATAGAATGCTCAGCCACCCTCAGACAAAAGCTAGCCATGTAATATCCGAGGCATCACATCCATCGATACGAGTAAGGTGTGTTTCGCTTAGTAAATGGGGATTGGATAGGATTGAAATTTTAAACCAAACTCGGTCCATTGATAAAAGGCTACAAATTCGAGAAAGATTTACTTTGACTTGTTCAATTCTCCATTTGGCAATTACCTTTGACAAGTGTGGTTCACATGTGTCAATTCACCTTTAATGATTTCTAAGACGATGATTAAAATTTTAAAATAGTTAAAATTTAATTATTTAAAAACAAAAAATATGTTTCTATTTTGAGCAGATAAAATACATTTTTTTTACAATAATACTTTATATTTAGAGTATTAATGTAGTATTATGTATAAATAATTTATAATATATTATTTCTCCGGTTGTGATTTCTCATTTCTTTTGTTCACTCTTTGTCTTTTTCTCTATTTTTTCTTTTTCCATTTAATAGCCCCAATAAAGATATAAGATATGAGAAATAATATTTTTAAAAAATAGTTAAAATATAAAAATTTTGTTGAAGTATGTATTAAAAAAATGAATAACTAAAATAAAAAATATATATTTTTAGATAGTTAAAATATAAAACTTTATCGGAGATGCCCTTAGCTAGGAGACTTAAAACCAAATACTATTAAGCAAGAAAATTCAAATTTTTACTGACAACAAATAGTTGGTGTTGGATTTGTTTATCACTTAAATTTGGGGTTGGAAAGAAATAGAGAATTACCTGGCAGTCTCAGGCATCATCATACGCCAGTAAAACGTCATGCCGGCCGGGATTGCACCGATCATCAGTATGAATCTCCACGCCAAATCCGCCACCTCCGGCGCCTTGCCTTTGGGCGGATTCGACACCCTGTCAAATATAGCACAAACCACCATCGTCACCGTCGAACTTACAAGAATCCCAAAGCCCTGCATCGAGAAAACGGCGGCTATGAACCCTCCTCGTGTCCTCTTGTTAGCAAACTCCGACATGATCGTCGCCGACAGAGGATAATCCCCTCCAATGCCCACACCCAATAAGAACCTAAAGAACCCAAGACTCAGCAACACGCATGCCCTCTCGGACGCGCATATAGAAAATCCACACCCGATAGAGCTCATCACCATGAGAATCAATGCCACTCCGTACACTCTTCGCCGACCCAATTGATCGCCGAGTCGTCCAAAGACGAGTTGGCCAATCACCGTGCCCAAAAGGGCCATGCCAATCATGGTGGAGTTGACAACCGGGGGGACTTTGTGTTCATCGTAGTAAATACGTCCGATGAGTCTCATGATTGGAGGGATGCAGAAAAGGTCGTAGGCATCCGTAAACAAACCCATGCCGGCGATTATGATTGCTTTGAAGTGGTAGTACTGCGTTTTCGCAGTGTCAAGGGCGGAGAGAACTTTTAACGCCATTGCTGCAGACTCAGATTCTTGTGTTGTGTGTGCGTCGTTGCTCAATCAGCGTGGCGGGCTAGCTGTGGATATAAGTATATAAATCCAGACTCCAGAGAGAGAGAGAGAGAGTAGTTGTTGAAGGGTAACACTAACGGCGTAACATGGGTCAGGAATGGAAGTCTAGTTAAGGAGGAGGGNTCCTTGACTTAAAAACAAATAATTATTATTATTTTGGGTAAATTACTTATATAGCCCTCAAGCTATAACTTTGGTATCAATTAAATTTTTCGATTTTTTTTATATCAATTAAACTTTTAAACTCTCTAATTGTATCAATTAAGTAATTTTGTCTGTCTCCATTAAATTTTTTAATAGAAGCGACGAAGTGTGTCATTCACGTGACACAGATGAGTTGGTAAACTACACATATAATATAACCCCTAAATTATGACATTTGTGTCCGTTAATTCGCTTATTACAATAGGTATTGTTTGGCTCCCCTTTTCATCTCTTTCATTGATCTCTCAAACTCAAACCCAGGGAGATTGGAAATCTCAGCTGTAAGTGTTGATTTACTGTGTCTGCATTATTCTTTTCTTTTCCATCTTGTGAACACTGTCCATTGTTATTTTGTGTTTGTTTATGTGATATTGATATGAATTTATTAATTAAAATTATGTATAATTATGCTAATTTACCCAACAATCTAAAGCAGCTAAGAACCAATTCTGACCTTTGGTTGGAAGAAGCTTCCGTGAACAAGAATACTCCTTCCAGTCCAAACCAAACAGCAATATCTTATATCAACTGCATAAACACCATTAAAAACTTAATTCCTGCAATCAATTCAATACAACTCTCTATACCAATTACAACACCACAACTTAAAAAGTTGATCAGACTCACGACAACACTAATAAATATGAAGAGATGATTAGATTACAAACCCAGAGCACGGGAGCTCTGGTTTGTAACAGATACGATGAATCTGACCTGTGAGGATTTCGATTTCAGGTTATACCTGGAAAACCTATTGCTCGAAGGATCAGCCAACTTGAGAACATGGTTTTGCATGCTTTATGCTTGACTATAAACGTGTTCTTACAAGTTGCAACTCTTGTTATGTTGAAACTCTAACTTAACACGTGGGTACCTACTTGGAATTATATAGGTTTGGCCTTTTATTCATTACTCTAGATTGCCAGTTGGAAGGACATTCACAAGTTTTCTAGCTGACTTTGTTCTCCTCCAAAACCAAGCGCACAAGAATAGCATAATTACTACTAATCACCCGCTTTTACTTCCTTTTTTCTCTTTTTCAGTAATTTGTGATATTACTACTGTAATTATGGTGAAGGTATTGTTCAAATTTTTTGACCTGTCGAAATATAGACTACTTGAATCTTTTAACTGAAACAGTTGTCAATGAGAGCAATTCATGTAGTAATTTAACAGTGAAGTCCACATTGTGAATAATTCTTTAAAAATATTACAGAGCAGTCATCGGTATTTGAAGCTATATTTTTCTCGTTAAATTTAGGTAGCCTATGCGTCTAATATTATTTCAAAATTAGTGAGGGCCTAATAGTGATTTGCTAATTGAAATTTTAGATATTAAATCTAAGATCTATAGGTGGTTATCCTTAGTTTTATTGTGAATGTAGAACACCTTTACTTTTACTATAGATATTATGTTTGAAATTATTGGGTACAANTTTTGCTGATTGAAATTTTAGATATTAAATCTCAGATCAATAGGTGGTTATCCTTAGTTTTATTGTGAATGTAGAACACCTTTACTTTTACTATANTATTCTGGAAAATTTATGGCAGGCCCGAAAACAGAAAATTCGTTTTTAAAGAAATTACACTTTGATCTCAAAAGTTTCAAAAATTATGATTTGACCCTAGAACTTTAGAAATTTTTTTCAAACAGCCCAGAATACTTCCATATCCTATAACCTCGTATTAGGAAGGATATTTATATGTCAAAGACATACTAAGTATATATCAATGAGTAGGAAGTATAAAAATTAAATATACAATCGCGAAACGACAAAGTTAGGAAAAATGGATTGATTGTTATATGTTATTTTGGATTAGGTGGTAATTGCATTGANACTTTGTGATCGTTTTTAAAAAAAAGAAACATTCAACACTAACTAGCATTTAGATTCCAACTTTTGACCAGGTTGACACCTAAATCATCTATACGTTCAACTATATATTTAGTATTTTATTTTCAAGTATATCGAGTATGTGATTGGNAATGTTTACTAAAAAAACTTGCAACAACAATTCCTTCTTATTAAAATAATGTGAACTAGCAATTGAGAGTTATATATTAACCATTTTATTAGGAATAATAATATATGATTTGGTAATGTATATTATATATAGTAGGTAATTGGAATTATTGAATTGTTTTTTTTATATAAATATTGGAATTATTAGGGGTATAAAGCAATATTGTTGTTGTAAGAGTGACAAAAATGAAGTGTATTTTCGTACATAGAATAGAATGCTCTAATCACGTACACAACTAAAATAGAGAGAAGAAACAAAATTACTATACAGTCCAAAGTTTAAACGGCAAAAATTAGCACTAACCCAAAAAACCTAAGAAGAAGAAGAAGAAGAAGACAAAACTGAAGTGTATTTTCGTACATGTAATGTATATAGAATGCTCAGCCACCCTCAGACAAAAGCTAGCCATGTAATATCCGAGGCATCACATCCATCGATACGAGTAAGGTGTGTTTCGCTTAGTAAATGGGGATTGGATAGGATTGAAATTTTAAACCAAACTCGGTCCATTGATAAAAGGCTACAAATTCGAGAAAGATTTACTTTGACTTGTTCAATTCTCCATTTGGCAATTACCTTTGACAAGTGTGGTTCACATGTGTCAATTCACCTTTAATGATTTCTAAGACGATGATTAAAATTTTAAAATAGTTAAAATTTAATTATTTAAAAACAAAAAATATGTTTCTATTTTGAGCAGATAAAATACATTTTTTTTACAATAATACTTTATATTTAGAGTATTAATGTAGTATTATGTATAAATAATTTATAATATATTATTTCTCCGGTTGTGATTTCTCATTTCTTTTGTTCACTCTTTGTCTTTTTCTCTATTTTTTCTTTTTCCATTTAATAGCCCCAATAAAGATATAAGATATGAGAAATAATATTTTTAAAAAATAGTTAAAATATAAAAATTTTGTTGAAGTATGTATTAAAAAAATGAATAACTAAAATAAAAAATATATATTTTTAGATAGTTAAAATATAAAACTTTATCGGAGATGCCCTTAGCTAGGAGACTTAAAACCAAATACTATTAAGCAAGAAAATTCAAATTTTTACTGACAACAAATAGTTGGTGTTGGATTTGTTTATCACTTAAATTTGGGGTTGGAAAGAAATAGAGAATTACCTGGCAGTCTCAGGCATCATCATACGCCAGTAAAACGTCATGCCGGCCGGGATTGCACCGATCATCAGTATGAATCTCCACGCCAAATCCGCCACCTCCGGCGCCTTGCCTTTGGGCGGATTCGACACCCTGTCAAATATAGCACAAACCACCATCGTCACCGTCGAACTTACAAGAATCCCAAAGCCCTGCATCGAGAAAACGGCGGCTATGAACCCTCCTCGTGTCCTCTTGTTAGCAAACTCCGACATGATCGTCGCCGACAGAGGATAATCCCCTCCAATGCCCACACCCAATAAGAACCTAAAGAACCCAAGACTCAGCAACACGCATGCCCTCTCGGACGCGCATATAGAAAATCCACACCCGATAGAGCTCATCACCATGAGAATCAATGCCACTCCGTACACTCTTCGCCGACCCAATTGATCGCCGAGTCGTCCAAAGACGAGTTGGCCAATCACCGTGCCCAAAAGGGCCATGCCAATCATGGTGGAGTTGACAACCGGGGGGACTTTGTGTTCATCGTAGTAAATACGTCCGATGAGTCTCATGATTGGAGGGATGCAGAAAAGGTCGTAGGCATCCGTAAACAAACCCATGCCGGCGATTATGATTGCTTTGAAGTGGTAGTACTGCGTTTTCGCAGTGTCAAGGGCGGAGAGAACTTTTAACGCCATTGCTGCAGACTCAGATTCTTGTGTTGTGTGTGCGTCGTTGCTCAATCAGCGTGGCGGGCTAGCTGTGGATATAAGTATATAAATCCAGACTCCAGAGAGAGAGAGAGAGAGTAGTTGTTGAAGGGTAACACTAACGGCGTAACATGGGTCAGGAATGGAAGTCTAGTTAAGGAGGAGGGGGAGGAGGGAGAGAAA